AAATTAATTATTCGGTTTTGTCCGTCTAATCACAATTATATTTAAAATTTACAAATAAGATAATTAAAATATCATTTTATGTTCCACATCGAATAATCGATTTACATTTGGAATTTCGATGTGGAACATAAAATGATATTTTAATTATCTTATTTGTAAATTTTAAATATAATTGTGATTAGACGGACAAAACCGAATAATTAATTTCTTATCAGAGATATTGTAAAGTTAAAGTATTCTCTCTTCTCGCATATGTTTTGATAGCAACTCTAGTATAGTAAAACAGGCTTTGCTTCGCACGTCAGCTATGACTTGGTTTATTCGATAAAGAACATTGCATCACACGTATCTGCTTTCGAGGAAAACCGGATTGGTTTCGTTAATGTGGCTTTGCAAGCTTAATAACACATTACATCTGCTACACGCGTAGAAAGTTTAAGGGTTCAACCTGATTTAATTTCACGCCATATTTACTCCAAGGGTTTGCTTCGTGGTTTCGATAACATCGACTTTCTTTATTTACGAGATAATATTAAAGAGGAACTAACCTGTATTTAATTACAAATTATGTAATGTTGTAATTGGTAATTGTGGTTTATAATGTAGGTTAAGGTGCTTAAGTGGGCTTATATTACGTATGAAGTTCATCGTAATAACAGAAAGAAAATTAAAGTTCAAAGGCAATTTCAGAGACTCAAGAATACTCACTGTGAGATTTAAGGTTTTCACCAATCTTAAAAAGTACTCACTGATGTCAATACAAAGTAATTTCATTATTATCAAATTCCAGTTCATCTTTCACTGTTGGAGCATTTGGTCTGTCCCAATTCAGAATTCTGAAACAGTATGGCGTTTGGTCCGTCCCAATTCAGAATTCTGAAACAGTATTTCCTTTACACCAAAAAGTCTCGAAGCCCGCAGACTCGGAAAGACCAAGACCTTCATCATCTTTAACTTTCCTGTCATGGAAGAAGACGGATCCCTGCCGTGTTTACAATCAACCACTAGCCCTACTTATCTTTGATCCATTTTAATATTATACCCTCATATCAATCTAGGTACCAAAAAGTCGCGACCGAGTGATGAGCCATCTTTTTTTAATATTCGGAAAGGTCACAGGTTCAAATATCGATCCGGAGATCGACTATGCTGTGGTTTTTCGTGGTTTTCCTCAGTGCCGTCTTTTGCAATGCCGAGAGTTTACCTAAAATTTGGCGATGAGTGCTTATTTCCAAGATACTTTCCACTAATTACTGCATTCACAACAGCTGTATAGTATAACATATTCTGATCCAGATTAATCCAATCCTATTTATTTTAAGATCCATTTCATTCCAAGTCTCAAATCTCATGTTTATCTTCTGTTTTTTACGATGCTCCAAATAACCCGACAGAAATCTAAAGACCTGTTTAACATCTTAATATTCTGTACGCCTTTATTATACCGCCTAATCCCAAAGCTGCTGGACCACCCCTTGTCAGCTTTCCGCGACTGTACTGCGTGTCTGATGACCGTCTCCTCCACCCAATCGAAGAACGAGGAGTGTCGTCGAGACAAGGGCCCCACGTTATATGTTATTTAACGACACTGCTACAGCTACAAATGTTATGTACCATCAAATGAGATGGGAAATGCGGTGGATGGTGAGTCGGTCAGGAATTGAAAAATGGTGTCGTGAGGTTCGAACCGGACACCCTCCGATTGCAGATGTAGGATGTCCGCCGCTTCACTGCGCACTGCAGAGAGAAATTACGAGATTACAATTTCACGCTCCAGTACACAGACTGAATTCCGGATTCTTCCGCCCGCGAGGGACTAACTTATCTGACACGCTGGCCGCGTGACCACTCACGCAAATAGACCAGGAACTGAAAACACGCACATCCAGCAGTCCAAATTTAATCGTACTTATCTGTCAAACCAGAAGTGAAAACAGTCGCCATAACAACAGGTCTGCTGCACGAAGATTGCGTCAAATAGCAGCCTCGTATTTGCTGTTAACCTTTCAGAACCCTGCCAACTATCATTTACAAAACACAGAATTAAACGACACGTAAACGCAAAATAAAAAACGTGCCTTGTTCACATACGATACTTAGTTTGCGCTTGGCTGCGTTGATTGAGGATAATATTAAAATGTACAGGATGTAAATTCGATTCAACTCATTCTGCATGAGACATAATGGCTGGGCTTTGTGAATACGGGAATTAAATTATAGTTCCATAAAAAGAAGAAATTTCGTGTCCAGCTCACCGACTACCAACTTTTAAATAAGGCCTGAAGCATGAAGTTAATTATACTTAATAAAATGGTACGAATTTTAATTACATATCATTAATATCTAACAAATCATTTAATCGAGTCGACGGTATTTCGAAAGCAAATCTTATTTTTGTAGCGTCGAATGTGATGAAAGATGATGGCGAATAGGTAAGGATCTGGACGGAAACGACCGTGACATATTAAAAGGTCATTCGCCCAAAGGGACTGGAGAAAATAAACACTAGAAACGTGTTAGGAAATCCGACAGCATGCCCGAAATTCGAACCGACTGCCTCCAAGATGCATGCCTAAAGCGTTTCGACTACTTTGATCTGCAAAGCACGATGAATGGATAATGGAAAAATACGAAATGTGCATTAGGTGACAATGGAAATGAGAGTCTTCGCGATCAAGGGCAAATATAAAAGAGGTTAAGGTCATCCCCGGTGGTACATCACTTCAGTTACGCGCTCTGGACTGCGTCTCCTTCGACTTCTGAAGAGTTCTTTCTCACGAAAATGTTCTTTGGGTTTTGGCGCCGTGTAGACCCGTCGCCGACTTCATCCTTGAAGATGGAGACAGCATGTTTTTTTTTTTCCCGAGGAGTTCACACTGTGCCAAAACCCAGAGTATCATCACCCTCACCACCGAGTAAACGTAAAATCTCGTGTCATATTTCTTTTCCTTCTCGATTTAGAATCCTAGATATTTAAATCAGATAACCGTCACGATTTTTCCTTTAACCCAACACGTGTGTGTACCTTAAAGTATAAACAGACAACAACAAAATAACGTGTGGCCTATATCATTTTAAACTAGACTCAAATAGCACGTGATTAAAAGTGTTAAACTTTATTTCGTGTGGTCATAATTACATTCCAACACACGGTGAGTCAGTGACGTATACGTAGCCCTTCAAAAAAAAAACTTCTTCTTCACCACAAGCTGTGAAGTCAAGCTCGAAGACTGTTGTCAGACACAATCACAGTTTCTCCTCATGACAGACAAGATTCCAGTTTCGCAACGCTATTCATATCAACTTCACTGGGACCTATGAACAGCTCTGTAAACAAGTCCTACTGTTTTAATAAGTTTATATAATGTTTCATTAAGTTCAACGTCGCAAGTCCTGTGAAACACCGGAATGGATTGACGCAATATCAACTTGGGTACTAGATGGAGGTGACTAATCTACTTAATGAGATAATATTTAAGTTTCTTAGTAAACCGTTCAAAGTAACTTTCCTCAGGGTAAGATCTCCCCCAAAACGAAAATGACTGTCTCTTGGAATGTTTCGCCGTGTAGTCTATTACAATAACATCGACGTTTCAGACGTGATTGCTGCCTCCACCATCTTCGACGTGATGATGAAGGCTGCAAGCACCTCTGAAACGTCGATAAACCTCATAGCAGAAAATCAGGTCAAGAAATCCTTCGCCTTTTCATGGTACCCGGTACAATCAGCCACCTGTCCATATTCTAAGCCAGCTCAATCCACTCAGCAACCTCACATCATATTTCTGTTGTTTCAAAGATTCTGTACAAGTCTAAATTTCATAACATGATTTTCAGAATGATGAAGATTTGTTAGCTCCTCTCCTAAGGAAACAACAGTTGTTTTTTTTACAAACACTCTCGTAAGAATCGTATTTTTCACGCCGACACGTGATCAAGTCGACCTACGAGGAACGTAATTATCCCAAAGAACTCCCTCAATAGGAATCTCTCTTTTTCCAGACGTGGGGAAGGCGACACGTGAACTGAGGCTGCAAAACCCAGAACTTGAAGTTCTGATAAGCGTGGGTGGAGTTCGAGTGCCAACAGAAGTGGTTGAAGCAATGGTCAAGTCCGCTGACAGGAGGGCAATGTTCGCTTCCAGCATCGCCCGCATCGTCAGAGACGCCGATCTAAGCGGCATCGAAATCAACTTCAGGCTGGACTCTAAGGGCGGGTCCAAATATTCCAAGGGAGGCCTTGTGGCTCTCGCAAAGGTTGGGGGAACTTCATAACTGATAAGGTGTCACCAATTATCATTTGCGACTCGAGTTTTTGGCGATGCAGAGTAAAATTCGAAACGCTGGCACTCAGATCGGTCCAGAAGCAACCTAAGTCAATAATAATGTTCCGTGGTACGACGCCCTTTCTCTAAAATGTTAGCGTCTACCGATTGGTCTACGCTTCGTCAAAACCCAGATCATCAATGTCGTCACAGCCACGAGAATCTCAAAACCCAAGTCAGTGTTGCCCTTTTTTCATCAGAAGAATTAAGAATAAAATCCTTCAAAACTGTGGCAAAATTGTAATACTTAAGAACAACGCTAACAGATCAGAAGATTTAATTAGGGCAATGCCAATTGAACAGGGCAGTCTTCTGGGATGTTCCGTCGTGTGGGTCTTGCAGAAGTCTACCGATATTTCACGGGTACATGCTGCCTCAATCATCAGGCGATCACTTATTGCCCTGATGACGGAGGCAGCAAGTACCTCTGAAACGTTGATAAACTTCTACCAGACTACATGGGCCAACAATCCAGAAGACAGCCCATCTTCGGACTCACCGCCATAAGAACCCGAAATCTCATCAATTTCTTTGTTAATTTCCAGTTACTTCGAAAGGAGATCGATGCTGTAAAATCGCACAGAAGTAAGAGAGACTACTCGGTCTTCGAACAAGTCGACGACATCAGTACGACAGCCTGGACACCTCCCAGGTAATCCGCCAAACCTAAACTGAATTGGCCCAAACACTGCGTTACAATTGAAGGTCATTCGATGTCAGGATTGGACCTATGAGGGGAGTGTACAGACTTGCAACTAAACAAGCGATAAATGCTAGAAAACAAGTTTCTTTATTGAGGTTTAATATTAAATTTGCATACCGTAAAATTTATCTTATTAAAATGCCATTAACCCACTGCCTGCAGAGCACTGACGTTGCAAAACCCAGTTAATCTTTTACAAATTTGATCTGTATACTCCACGTTTTAGGTTAGGTTAAGTTGGGTTAGGTTAAGTTAGGTTGGGTTAGGTTAGGTTAGGTTAGGTTGGGTTAGGTTAGGTTGGGTTAGGTTGGGTTGGGTTGGGTTGGGTTAGGTTAGGTTAGGTTAGGTTAAAAAGTGAAATGCGAGTTTAATTTCGCTGTCTCTTATTCAGACGGTTCGCAACGAGAGGAGTGCGCAAGGCGGAACCTAGAACCAGAATGCCACACAGACCAATTTTAAGAAGTACACGCACTGACACGCATAGCAATGCGAGAGAAACTCTTCTGCAGAGCTACCTAGCACTGGAACACAGATCTTCCAAGGACAAACTGCTTCTGATCAACGTTCCCACCCAACCAGAGATCCTCGTCAAGAGATTCGACCTGAAGACGCTCGCAAAGTACGTTCCATGATCCCAAATATTTTATGAAAACAAGGAATAAAAACCAAAAGGTGTTGCCATGAATTTCCATATTACTTAATAGTAGGTGGAATAAGATATAATTTACTTTTACTAAATTTAGACGTAATTAATAAATTAATGCCTTTCTCTTTAACAGGTATGTGGACTATTTCACTATACCAAGTCACAATCTGACGGATTCCTCAGAAAATGGTGTTACCTATCACCCCAGTCGTCTTATGGGTCTTGCCGACATCCTGAACACTGTAACTAAATTACTCATAAGTTTACTTAATATATATATATATATAAGTACTGGAAATGAGATCTCACATATACGAAAACATAATTAAAAAGAAATATAATATTATAATATGACTTCTTCATTTCTGTGTTTCTGAATTCAACTTACTAATTCTTCTTTTAACTGAAATTTCCTACTATCCTAAAGAGATCAATAAAAATAAATAAAAATTTTCTTCTTTTGACATTTTGAGCAGTTTTCAAAACAACATAATTTGGGATCCTACTCCGCATAAAATAATGGTAAAAACTATTAACTTAAAAATAATCTACATGCTTGCGTATTAAAGAAAATCTACTGAAGTCAGAGGGTTCTCTTCAAAAATATCTTCAGATTGAGGGGAATTAATCTTTTCTGTATCCTGCATGCATTCTCATTGCATTATGAGTTTCTCTACCAACAGGATTCTATACTGGACTTAGTGATGGGTCTTGGAGCCCCTCACAACAAGCTAATTATAAGTATCCCAGCCACGGCAACACAGTTTACCCTGAAAGAAGTTAAACAGAACACGCCCCGATCCCCAATCACGGCCGGACCAGAAACACTCACGCAAACTGAGGTAAATACACAAATGTCTGTTTCAACAAAATTAAATTCGTAAATTGTCCAAAAATATGATGACGACGAAAAATGTAACATATCTGTTTCTTAATGCACACAAATGTAATGAAATAGTGAAATTCTCACCAATTTGTAAATGATCATATGGGATAACGTCCGAAAGTATTTTACTGTCAAGCTTTTTTTGTGTTAAAAACTCTTGAGTATGCAATCAGGGAGACAAAAGATTATTGTCGATAGTAAATCAGACATCCTTTTGTCACTTCAAAAACATACGAGGCACGAATCAAGGCATCCAATGAAGTTGTACCACAAAATTTTCAGTAATTTAATTAATATTAAACACTAATATAATTCTACACTCAAAAAACCCAGAAATTTCATACCCAAATAATTACAGTTCTAAACTGATAAATTTCATAATTTCTAGTTGTGTACCTTAATGTCTGCTGGAGGCTGGACTATTGAGCGAGATGAGGACCTTACTGCACCATATGCCTTCAAGAATGGCTCTTGGCTTTCATTTGATGACAGGATCAGCGTCGGAATAAAGGTACAACGCATTCCTAAAAGCAAGGAAAGAAAGAATTTGAGGACAGGTGCCTCTAAACGCTACTTCAGGTAGACGGATCTATTGCATAATAAATGGGTCATTTAATTGAAATTTCTCCCTTGCAGATTTTCAGACAGCTGGAAAAATAAGAGAAATTAATATTACAACATGAAGCATGCAGGCTTATAATGTTGACACGTGTAGATGGTTGCTAGTAATTCAATGATTTAATTTTATATACGGTAAAAAGCCAATGCTTTTCCATCAATCAATGATTGTACTCTATCCTAAAATTCTCCAAATTCCTTACGTCTTAAAATTCTGGGACTTCACGACGTAAGGCTGATTTAATTGTAAGATCACGTTTAATATTAAACCGCTGATTTCAGAGCAAATACGTGCTACTCCGAGACCTGGCAGGAGCAGCACTGTATCCAGTGGACAGTGCAGACTGGTCAGGTACCTGTCTGGTGGAGAACAGTACAGACAGCAAAATACCACAATTACTTCACAGTCTGCATCATGCTTTCACTTCGCTGGCTCGTAAATCGAGAGGTACTCTACTGGAAACACTACAAGAAGACATCAGGACTTCAACCCTTCTAACCTTCACAGGTTTGTAGAGACAGAGAGAGAGAGAGAGAGAGAGACAGACAGACAGAGAGAGAGAGAGAGAGAGAGAGAGAGAGAGAGAGAGAGTCTGTCGCTTAACACTGCTGCCCTCTGACAGTCTTCTAAGTTATCCATTAATGTCTCAGAAACATGCCATGAAATCAGACAAAACAATAAATTAACCATAAGATGGCACTAGTCTCCTGGGATGATGCACCATGTAGTCTGGCACAAGTGTTTATTGCTTCCATCATATGAGCAATAAAACATTGATAAAAAACTACCAGACTTCTTCTTCTTCTTCTATGTCTCTCCGGTCCGTATTTGGTCCATGGCCTCCTCAATTCTCCTCTTCCATTCAGTCCTTCTGTTAGGTCCATCTGTCCGAGGTCGAGGTAGCCTTGCGACCAACCCCCAACCTGGAGGACCAGGGTACCTGTCTTAGTCTGACCTCTCCCCCTCGACCAATCTGGCTAGGGAGGCCCTACCAGTAGCTCTTGGTGTCACTGAGGTACTCAAGCCCCACCACCATGACAAGGTGCAGGTAACTACCAGACTATACAGAGCAACATCAGACATCATACTCATCACCAGAAATCTCTCAAAATTAATCACATGCTATTATTCAAAACATTAAAGATGGCTATTTTCTAGGATGTTGCTATCTGTAGTGTGGTAGCTACAGACTAGTATTTAAGAGGAGCTTACTGCCTGATGGTGGAGGCAGTAAGTGCAATGACAATTTAAATTTTTCAGGAGATGTTCAACTTTCACCGTACCGAATTGTGAGAGTGATCGATAATCTGGGGGCTGTGCACGTTGTGAGGAAAAACGCGAGGACTGAGTTTGAATGCTCAAGGCAGGGTTACTTCAGACACCCACTTAGTTGTAACAGGTAAGCAAAGCAAATGTCATAAAGTATTCTTTTACATGAAATACTTTTACTTTCATCCCAAAAAGATAACATTTTAATCAAAATAAAGCACAGGAAAATGAGGAGTGAATTTGGTGAAGGAACAGAACAGAATCAAGTGCTGAGCTTTTGTCATGATAATGATGAACTTCCAGATTTTTTGACTAGAAACTGCTTCACCACTGAATAACTGTCAACAACTATAGGAAACCTTGAAAAATGTAATCAGTCAATGACACGCAAACATATCTAGTTTATAATTATGTCTAATACCTAGCATTGCAGTTCATACCCACAATCAAAAAATCAGTAACACCTTTATCTCATACTAATATGTGTCCAAACTATAGTTTACATTAAAGTAACCAATGGAAAAGATGTTATATAAATTATTTTGTAACCATCGCAACTGATAACAATTAATTAAGAAGTTTGCTCCTCAAATGAATATTCCATCACTTACAGATTCTACCGATGTGTGAAATTTAACCAATACTCAGAAGACTTCACAGTATTTGAATATGATTGCCCCGCTGGCCTCGCATTTGATGAACGTTGGGAGGTCTGTGTATGGCCGGGATCCCTTCCTGAAGGTGCTTGCCAGGGTTCCAGTGAAATTGCTCCTGTACCTAGAGCTCGCTACACTTGTCCCAAAACAGAAGGTTACTACGCAGATCCTGAAAACTGCCGCTGGTTCTTTGCCTGTTTGGACCACACTCGAGATGGAGTCACACCTCTGACAGCTTATGAGTTTCGCTGTCCTTTCGGACTAGTTTTTGATGAACAGAATCTACTTTGCCAGTGGCCATGGCTTGTTGATGGTTGTGGAAACAGTGGAGTTTTTGCTGGAGCTTATTTCGGTGAGCTAGCATTTGGTGATGCTGTAAGAAGAGGTTATGCTGCAACAGCTGGTGGATATAAAGCTGGAGGTGCAGTTACTGGTAATATAGCATCACAAAAATCTGGTTCTATATTTGTTCCTGTAAGTGATTTGGGTGTGCATTCTGGAGTTGGCATCACTTCCAGTGAAGATGCAATAGCTGTACAACAAGGAACAAGACTGGCCACAGGCGACGCTGCAGGTGGAATACTTTTCACGGACACAAATGCTGGTAGCAATGTAGTTACATCAACTGCTTATGTTTCTGGAGCTAGTAGAGGAAGCATAAAACATAGTAGCAACTCAGCTGCAGGAGGATTTGGTGGACAAATATCAGGATCTTACATAGCTGGAGGAAAGAGCAGTCAAGCTTTTGATAATTCTGGTTCATTTAATGAAGGAAGACATATATCTTCATATGCATCATTCCCTGATTCATATGTGTCTGGTGGCAGAATCGAAAATTCTGGTGGATTGGTGTTGGGAGAACATGTTGGTGTTCACGGAACTGAATTTGGCATCAGGTCTGGAGGCACTTCCGTCATATCTGGAGGGCAAACTCTCAACTTAGGCAATGCAGGTTTAATTGAAAATATTGATGGTTCCAGGAATATTTATTCATCAGATGTAATTCGTGCCAACAAAGGAAGATATTTGTCAGGCAGCGTTTTATCATCTGTGCCTACTAAAACTGAGATCAAGACTCCAAATATTCCAATTATTCCAGTTCCTACTTTTCAGAAACCAGCTGCTGCTCAAATACCCATTATACAACCTACTACAGTACCAATCACAACATATCAACAGACACTGGTTGAAACTCCACAGGCCCCAGTTATCCCAGTAACTACTTTCAGAAGACCTGCTGTAGCAAAGGTCCCTATTGTTCAACCTGTTGCTCAAGCAGTCCCTGTGGCAACTTATCAACAGACACTGGTTGAAACTCCACAGGCCCCAGTTATCCCACTAACCACTTTCAGAAGACCTGCTGTAGCAAAGGTCCCTATTGTTCAACCTGTTGCGTCCCCATTGTTCAACCTGTTGCTCAACCTGTTGCCCAAGCAGTCCCTGTGGCAACTTATCAACAGACACTGGTTGAAACTCCACAGGCCCCAGTTATCCCACTAACCACTTTCAGAAGACCTGCTGCAGCAAAGGTCCCTATTGTTCAACCTGTTGCTCAAGCAGTCCCTGTGGCAACTTATCAACAGACACTGGTTGAAACTCCACAGGCCCCAGTTATCCCACTAACCACTTTCAGAAGACCTGCTGCAGCAAAGGTCCCTGATTTACAACTTTCCACAATCCCTGTTGCCCAAAATATTCCTGTGACATATCAACAGACAATAGTTGAAACACCACAAGCATCCGCTGTTCCCATTGCCCCAGATGTATCTCTTATTCAACATGCTGTAACAACTAAGCCCCTTGTCAGAACACCAACAATATTACAGACATCAACTGTTGATACAGCCCCAGTTACAAATTACTTTGAACAAACACCAGCAGTTCCAGCTGTTTTAAGAAGAACCAAATTACGACCAGTAGCATATCAGGCACTAACCATACCTGACACCAAACCTCTTGTTCCAGTTGTAAACACATATCTGAGCACACCTGCCTCTACTGTACTTCCAATTCAAAGAACATTTTCAGAAAGTGGTGGTGCTGGCTTTACTGTTGAAGGAGATGAGGGGGAAGGGCAGTCTCTTCAAGGAAGACCTGTAGTATCTGTTGCAACAAATGGAGCCGCTGGAATTTCATTGCCACTTGCAAGATCGAATGTCGAAACGTTTGGTGCTGTGGTCACAAAAAATACAGTTCCAGTAAGTACAGCCCCAGTGATAAAAACAGGCATATCTTTTGGAGAATACTCTTATTCAACTCCAGCTACTGGTAGTTCAGTCCTTGGGTCTTCGAGTTATTCTCCTAGTGGCTATTTTTCTTCAACGCTAGCCCCTGCGATAAATTCAGGAACAGCAACTGCAGACTATTCTTATGCTACCCCAGCAACTATTATCTCAGCTGGTAAAACCGTTTCTGTTACACCAGTCCCAGACAGAAAATCACATGTGTCTTTTGGAAGTTATCCATTCACAGCAATAGCTTCTTCTGTTCCATTTGCTGCTGATGTAAGATCCAATGTATCATCTGTTGGATATTCCTATCCCTCACCTGCACCTATAATTACCAATGGTGCAATTTCTGTTAATGTGGTTCCTACTCTTAGACCTAATATTGAGGCATACTCGGTATCAAGAGTTGGTATAGTTCCTGGTGACACCGTTCAAACTGTAAACACAAGAGTAACACCAGCATTTGAATATTCATATCCTAAATCATCTACTCTGTTCACATCTGGCAAAACTTCAACTTTCAGAGGAGTCTCTCTGGCAAGTGGTCTTGAACCAGCTTTATCTGACAGTTCTGCAGGGTTAGCCTCAGGTTTGGAACTCCCATCTTCTACAGTTGGACCAGTGTTCATTGATTCCAGTGTTACAACAAGACCATATGCTTCAAGGACCGGTGCTACCAAGCTGGGATTTGCCCTCCCTACTTTCAACACAGAAATTGACAAAATCCACAAAAATGGGTATGTATCTTCAACAACTGCACCATCAGTTGCAGTAACCCCAGAAATACCAATATTCAGAAGTTATACAGTAAATCAGAAGGCTCTTCTTTCAACCACTGGAGCACCAATTCATGCAGTGCCACTTGTCGATGGGGATTTCGGAGCACGAACTTCTTTCCAGGGTGATAAGTTTGCAGCATCTTATCTTGGAGCAGAAGTAAGGGAAGGATTCACACCACAAACAAAGCTCACCTATGGAGCTCCTCCAAACACACAGTATACAAGTGACTCAGCATTCATTACATCATCCATATCTGATAACAGCCAAGGACGAGGAACGCCTTACCCTGAATATGTCTCAGGTTATGTTTCAAGTACTACCATTCCAGCTACCTCAACATCTGAAGCCAATAATGTTTATTCAAATACTCAGAGATCCAATGTATTCCAAAATCACAATTTTGTGTCTTCCACACCAAGGCCTGTTACATACTTAACTGAAGTGACACCTAAATCCGTCAAAGTAACCTCTGTTCCAGTTTTACAGCCAACAACAGACTACAAGACATCAGAAGAATTTGGCTCACGCATTGGTGAGCCTGCATCAGGTAAAAAATCAACATCAAGAACGCATATTAATTATGATAACGAAAATGTCGAAGCACTTCTTGATAAATATTCAGGAAAATTTGGTGGTCTACTGGACAACAATAAGGAAAGTTTCATTAGTGGAGTAATAACTGATGATCTTGTTGGTCATGGTGGGGGTGAGGTGTCACAGAGTGGTACAGGGTATGCTTTTGAAAGAGGGCATGTTCATGGTGTTGGGCAATCAGACTCGCATGATGGATATTCAACAACTAAGGGACATAGTGGCAAAGGCTCTATCACAACTTTCGGAACTAGAGCTGGCTTCACCACATTACCTGCTACTGATAGTGGCGCAAGAAATTTTGAAAATATAGAATATTCTACATCACGTGGAAGTTATGGCAGCACAACTTCATCACCTGATACAGGCCTGAGAGGAAAAGTCAGATATGGTTTGAATGTAAACATAGACGCAGATGGAGGAATTGGATATGACACTGTCGCAGTCAGACATGAAGGTACAAAATCACAATCCAAACAATCACCTATTGTTGTTATCACACGCCTAAGTGACATCAACCCCCTTCTAATCGCTAAACTTGGTGCTCAGTGCACATGTAAATCTAATACTGTCTCACTGAAGAGACTAGATGATTACCCAAGAAGCAGTTCTTCTGGTACTCAATCAGAACCACTTTATAGCACTACTTTTGATGATGATATAAATTCAAGAAGTGGAACATACAACATTCCTGAACATATACCTTCAGCACCTCTACCAGGATCAAACATTGTGACAGGAAGTTCTCCAGATATTATTCTTAGACTGGATGATGAAACACCATCAACACCTGTCAGATTGGCCCCAAATAAATTCCTCAAAGCAATTGGACTGGATGAAACTGGAATCACAGAGGCGCCTACGGTGTTCGTAGCATCATCAAGGCCACACAGTAAGCTGACAGAAGTGGCATATACAACAGCAAAGTCTGCTGAGATAAGTTCCCAAGTTCCTTTCACTAAAGGTGCGAGATTATATACAAGCCCTCAGATCGTCTCCAATCCAATTGAACCACATGTTCAAGTCAGCTCCCCAATTTCTTCCGCAGCAAATTTTAGATCCAATGCAAGGCCTCTGGTACCAGTTGCATCCTCTGACACCACTGTTCCAGTGGCAGAAACTGCAGTCGCAGACTTCGAAAGCGTTGCTGCAGTTTCTGGTGATTATCCTGAAACAGGATTCCCTGATTCTGGTGTAGATCTAGGAGGGCCTACAAGAGGATCAGGTGTTAGAACAGATGGTGGGGTACCTGGAGTAGGTTTGGGTGCTGTAGCACGAGCAGGAACAGGTGCTGGTAGAGCATTTGACAGATATGGACCTGGAGGTTGGCGAGGACTGGATGAGACTTTGCAAGGTTCTGTAGACTGTCAACGAGCAGGTCTATTCCGACATCCAAAATATTGCAACAAGTTCTATGCATGTCATTGGGATGAATGGAAGGGGCGTTACACACTTCATGTGTTTAATTGTCCAGTTCATCTTGCATACGACTCAAACCTAGGAGCATGTAACTGGCCATCCAAGGGACCTACATGCTCAGATGACAATTTACTTGTTTAAAAGCTACCTTTGCAAATAAAATTTTGGAAGAAGAAAATATATGTTACATTTATAAATTAAATACACACAGAAAGTGCCTTCAACAAACTGTGATTTGTTGTACACTTTGTTTTATGAAACAGTTACGAATGTACCAAATGCACACGTAATTGCTTGGCAACAGCAACCATATAAATGCTGTAAATTCAAGGCAGATATCATGCCTTGGAACTTTCTTTTCTTTAACAGTTAAAGTTTTCATAACAGAAATTTGTAAAGGCGTTCAATTTTGATACTGGAAAACAGCAACCTCACATAAAAGAATATGCATGTTCTAAAATGACAGCTATAAAGCTGCAAGCTTACAGATCTGCAGTCATATTAACTACATAAAGTTCCTTAATTTCGGCATAAATTACAGTCTCTCAAAACAACTATAGCCAAAGCAACAGTTCCAGATGAATGACATTTTGTTTCCTTCAATAATAACTAGAGAAGTTTAACTTCATCGAACTGTAAACATCACTCATATGTGGAATATACCTCGTATACTATCTTTTGATACTACCGAAGATGTTAGTCATTTTATGTTTCAAATCAATGATGTGATATTTAAATTAAACACAGTAATAATCATACCCTTTTAAGGAGTGTAAGATTATTATACATAAACATTTATTTGAAACATTTTGTATTTTTTAGTGTATATTTACTTTATAAATGACCTACAATATTTGAAGTACACAATGGTCTAACAAAGTGCTGAATTATGGGAACACTCAACAATAAGAGACTTAATACTTTAAAAAATAACATGATTGTGCCAATTTTCTGCAAGTGTGAAAATTCTTGTTCAGATCTTCTGCTAGGGTGAACAGATTGGTAAAACAAAAATTATTATTGCAATTTATTACCGTTTTCTTCTGTATAATATTATCATTATTTTATTTAATAGATTTCAACTACTGGTCAGATGTCAGTATGTAAATGATCTTGAGATAAAACAGGTTTGTGGGATATTTCTGTTTAAAACAGCTTCAGTATAATGATGAAGCATTTCATATTTCTAAACTGGGGGAAAAGTGTGGATGTTTATGTATCAGATTTTCAAACACTATGAATACTGGCTATGGCAAAGTCTTGAACTGCTAAGCACTTAGAAATATATTATGTCATATATGATAACTTCCTGTTTAAACCTCAATCTTTAAAAAAACATAATGTTTTTATGAAGTTCTGAATGATTATTTTCAACATGGACACAGAAAGTGATGAAGTTGTATATATAGAAGAGCCCAAGTGCAAATTAATTGTGTTAAATACACAATAATAAATTTATCTTTATGCCATCACAATGCAGTATGGCACAGAGAGAATAATTTATGTATAACTTATTATATTTATAGACATAGTTGCTTTTTATGTGTAATATGATACTACAAACACAACAGTTGAAACTATAAGTCCAGTTAGTTAAAATCTCTGTAATTATTTCATATGAGTATAAATGTAAATTGTAAAAACGTAATCTGTAATAAAATTTTGTGAAGCAATATTCCAGTTTGCTTGTTTCTCCATTTAAATAAAAATATTAACTGATCAG